AAGACCTCCGATTACCACCTCTATGCTCTTTCTCCTTCCTCTGTCTTGATGCAGTTCATCTGGTACCCTCGAAACCATCTTGAAGACAATATAAGAGCCACAAAAGGGAGGGGCGTGGGACTTGGTATCCCCACCCAACCAAGCCAGGGCTTTTGGGCTTTACATCATTAAGAAAGAAACTTCTGTAATGCTCCAGACCTTACACATTGTGGAATGGCTTTGTTAACCTACTGTAATAATGACAGATGAACAAAGTAAGGGTCAGAGCATGCAGTGCTTTGCCCAACAACCCGTAGGAAGCAGATGCCAGGATCAAAGGTGGTCTTGAAGCCGGGTATGGTGCCACACACCTGTAATCCCAGTACTTGGGAGGCAGTGTCAGGCAGATTGATCACCAGGAGTTTGAGGCCAACCTGGACTACCTAGTAAATTCAAAACCAGTCTGAACTACATAGCAAAATGCTGTCTCAAAAACAAAAAACAAAACAAACAAAAACTGCTCCTAAAGCCTAAAGCTGGTTTTGTTTTTAACCCCATCCCTTTGGCTGCGAGAAATAAAACAATGTCAAAACCCCAGAAACCTGCTCCAATATGGAAAAGGGCCTAGTGTCGTGCCGTGGAATCTGGTGAGCCCAGGGTAAGAGTACAGCAGAGCCTCAAGGACTGGGGTACCCTCAGGCAGCGCCCCTCTCTCTTCTCCCCTTCCATCTCCACCTCTCTGACTTCTCTGCCAGTGAGATGTCACCTCGGCTTCCTGTTTCTTGTGCTCTTGGCTTCCTTTGCTCTCCTGATGTTTCACAGGAGACCGTACTGATCTGGGCCCTCTAACAAGCTCTGGTCCACACAACGCAGCCTTCAGGATACAGTCTCTGGCCCAACATTTAGAGAGTCAACAGAGAATGCGTGGCTCGGCTCACCTGCTCTTGGCTGAGCTACTCCGGAGTTCTAATTTTTCCGGTCTACTTAGTGGGGAATAGGAGTACCATGGGCAGCAGAGGTTACCCCCCCAGAAACCTAAACCCAGGACTGTGCTCTTCTTAATGTTAAGATAAGGTCTTGCTAAATTATCCAGGCTGGCCTTGAATCTGTAATTCTCCTGCCTCAGCCTTCTGAATGCTGGGATTACCAGTCTATGTCACCTTGCCCAACTAGAGCTATGTTTCAACTTTCCACATGGAGTCCCAGAGCCTTCCCACCCCACTTGGCCTCCAGTGTAGCTGTCTACTGGCCAACCCCTCAGCCTGCTGTCCGTCCCCTAGGACTGAGTCCCTCTCCTACCCAACTCTGATGCCAGAAACTTGAGGATCAGCTCTGACTCCTCACTTGCCCTCGCCCCCAACTTGAACCCATTGTTGCAGGCAGTCTCAGTTAGATAAAAAATTGTAGGCAGTCAGACAGGGTCAGGGCCTGGAAGGAAATAACAACAGCCAGGCATCTTACAACTGTGGGAAGGATGGAGGTCCCTGCTGTGAATTGAACTTAAACACTGGCATCCAGGATTGACCATTACTCAGGAAGAATTATTGTCTGAAGGCCTCCTGATAAGGTCCTGTTTTACACTCATGCCCGCTTACTACATGACTCGCTACCCCATTTGGTCCTGGGCCTAATCAATTTTACCTGAGCAAATGGTGCTTGAAATCCGATTTGTTGACCATAGTTTAGTCCCACCCTGCATCTGTCTAAGCAAGACCACTTTGTCTCTACCTCAGCCCCGCATGGTTTTGCCCTATAAAGGTAACGTGGAAGAGACTGCTTCCTGGGCAACCCGCTTGAGTCCCCCTCCTGTCCCTCTCCGACTGAAGCTTTCCTTTCCAATAAAGTTTTACCCTCAACCTCCGTTTGTTCCTAAAATTCATTCTTTGGTTTTAGGGAACGCGAACTCATCCAGGCCAGGTCGGGAGTTTCACATTTCTGTATCACCACCACCAGGGCCTCTGTGCTAGCCACAGCTCTGACTGGGACTGGCCTCCTCATCTTCTTGGGGCCAAACACAGGCTTGTTTCCTTTTGTTCTTCCCTCTTAGCCTTTCTCCACATGAGCTTCTACAGAGACTTTTCTACCTTTCTTTTCTTTCTTTTTGTGGAAACGGGGATTGAACTCAGGCCCCTGCGCAGTGTCAGGCAGGTGCTTACTCCACTGAGCCATCTCCTTGGCCCCTTATGGAGACTTTTCTAGAAGGCAAATCTGGCCCCATCTCTCCATGGCTTAACCAGCCTTTCATGTGACCCAGGTTCTCAGTGTCAGAGCTTTGCCTCCCCGAGGTACCTACCAGTCCCATCTTGCGCTCCCACTCCCTATGTTCCAGCTGTGCTGAGCGACTGAATATACTGTTCTTAAGACCTGACTCAGGCTTCCCACCTTCAACTCAGGCCACTTTTGGCTGTCTGAGGCTCCTGCTCCAAGTGTCTGCAGCCTGCCCCTCAGGTGATGTACTCTGCTGCCGTCTATCCTTTAGGGGAGATGAGAAGCTGGGGTGTTTTTTTTTTTAAATTTTATTTGTGTGTGTGTGTGTGTGTGTGTGTGTGTGTGTGTGTGTGACCAGCTCAGCCCACCAGGGGGCGGGGCAGGCTGGCATGTGGTGCTGGGGGATTGAACCACGGTCCCTGTGCTTTGCTAAGCTTGTTCTAAGTAGGTGCTTTAGACCACTGAGCCATCTCACCAGCCCCTGTTTGCTTATTCTTGACCTACCTTTTAAGGACTTCTCTTTGGGGTGGGCAGCTAGTCAGCAAGGGGGTGTCTTCTTGGTTATCTTCGAGTTGGTCAGTGAGTGTGGATATCTATTGTACTCAATAAGAGTAACACATTGACTCTAGAGCAAATACACATGTATACAAATGTAGTGTATAGGTGTGAGTACATTCTGCCTTAAACTTAGCTATCCCCCTTTTTCTTCCCCCATATTTTACTGGAGGTGGGGGCAGCATATCATTTGTGTACCAGGCTTTCTCCCTGTGTCCTGCCTATCAGCTCTTTTTCTGGTCTCTTCCTGCAAGTTCCAAGGTCATTTGACGCCCTTTTAAAATCTAGGTTTTCTCTCTGCCCTTGTATTTGACTTGTTTCTCAGGGGAATCTGTCTAATGAAGTTTGTTTTTGACTCTCTGTGGTCAGGATTAGCTAGACCTATTGCATTTTCTCATTACAGACTCTAGTCCCTACAAAATGACTATGTGTGATCCAGTAGGGGTTTGTGGATGGCCAAGGTGGGCCTGCGGACAGGTGTATGAGCTGGAAGCCGCAGCTGCTGGCATCTGTTTGCCCTGCCAGCGGTGACTTGGAGGGAGGGTGAGGTGGCCTGGAGAAAGGAAACACAGGCCAGGCTGCCAGAGCAAACAATCAGGCCTTCTGGCCCTACCTTCCAGCAAATGCCAACTCACAGCTGAGGGCAGGGAGGAGGGGGAGAGGTTTGGAATTAAGGTCCTGGAGATGGCAAGGGGGAGTCAGACTGTAGACCACAGGATGTGTGTTTGGAAGGGGATGCAGTACCCCAGCTCTCAAGTGCTAGGGCTCCCTGTCTCTGGGGAAAGGGCTCTAGTGGGGAGCTATCAGACTCTGTCCCCAGCCTGGCCCTGCCTATCATTTCTCTTAGTGTCTTTGCCAACTGGAGAGGTAGGAGGGAAGGCACTGGGCAGAGATACCTGGAGATTTGAGGTTTAAACTGTTAGACTGGGCTGGATGTAGTGGTGCACAGCTACAATAATCTCAGCTACACGGGAAGCTGAGTCAGGAGGACTGAATTCAAGCCCAGCTTGGGCAATTTAGCGAGTCAGCAAAGAACGCTCCAAAGAAAGAAAGAAAGAAAGAAAGAAAGAAAGAAAGAAAGAAAGAAAGAAAGAAAGAAAGAAAGAAAGAAAGAAAAAGAAAGGCTGGAGCTGGAGCTCTGTGAAGGCCTCTGTCAATCCCCAGTACCCCTCCCCATTAAAGAAGGTGGGGACAAGTGGACTAGCCAGTCCCCACTGGTGTCCATGGGCTCTGGAAACTGAAAAAAGAAGACAGAGGAGCCGAGCCCTGCCCTCCAAGGTAGAGGTGCAGGGTTGCACATAGGCAAGCTGAAAGCTGAGACTTGCAGGGGTACTCTCTAGAAGGTGCGGCGCTGGTTATCTGGGAATCCATAATCCCAGCTCGGTCATCTCAGAGGCTGAAGCTCTGACTGACTGACTGCCTGATGGCAGTTTGGCTGGAGGTGGTGGGGTGAGGTTCCTCTAGCTGGCTGGGTCCCTCCAGCTGGGTCCCTCCAGAGTGTCCCTTCTTGCTCCTCCTTTTATGGTTTTTGCCTTCCCCTATCTACTTCTTACGACCTGCACCTCTCCTCTGGCACCCTGAGGAAGGGTTAAAGGGGTTCCCAGGTCACTCCTCCTGCGGATACTGGGCAGAAACCACCACTCTGACTCTCACGAATCTCTAGGGAGCCCCGCCCCCACCGGTGGCCACATTTCCTGCCACAGATCGGGCATAGAGTCCCAAGTCACAAGCCTGGTGTCCTTCACCTTCTTCTATCTAGGGGCTCATCGCTAGAGGTTCCCATAGTCTGAGAAATGTCCGCGCATAGCGGGTACTGGGGAAAGAAGAAAAGTAGCACAAAGCTCGCACGAGCAAAGCATCAGGTGGCTGCCTCCGGAGGAGACCTGCTTATCCGTAGGCTTCTGGTCCCTCCAGATCCAGGGTCACATTGCGCAGAAATAAAGTTGGGAACTAGGACGCCCCTCTACGGACAGCTCCGTTTTGCAGTGCTCCCCCCTCCCCTGGAGAACGGAGAGGAGGCGAACGTGGTTGCTCCTAGACCCACGGCAGGCAGCACCCTAGCTCGGCGGACAGAGGCCAGGGCCGCACCCGACGGCCGGGCTGGGCAGCCTGGCTCCGCCGGCCAGCCTCAGTGCCTCCTTCTGTAGAAGGGGTGGCCGGCCGGCTGCGCGCCCCGGGGCGGGGCGCTGTGGCAGGGAGGGCGGCCGGAAGGAGTGTGAGTGCGGGGGCGGGCCCGCGCCGCCCCGCCCTGGGGAGGGAGCCGGGGGCAAAGCATCCTGGCTTGGGCCTCGGGCGCCGCCGCCACTGCCGTCGGGGGAGGTCCCAGCGCGGACATGTCCTCGCGCGGCGCCCTCCCGGGCTCGAGCCCCCGGCACCCGGCGCAATAGTCCCGCGCAGAGGCGGCTGGACGGCGCGGACGGCCAGGCAGGCGGCATGGAAGAGGCACACCTGCTCCCGGCTGCCGACGTGCTGCGCCGCTTCTCGGTGACAGCCGAGGGTGGCCTCAGCCCGGAGCAGGTGACCAGAGCGCGGGAGCGCTACGGCCCCAACGGTGAGCGCGCGGCCTGGCCGCCCGGTGGTCCTCTCCTACCCCAGCCCTGGCCCCCGCGGGCGGGCAGGAAGCCAGGGCTCCGGAAGCCTCGGCAGATGCTCTCGGGGCACCCGGCAGAGCTGCGCGGCCACCTTCGCGGGTTTGGGGCGGGTTCCGCCTTGGGAAGCCGGACGTCTCTTGGCGCCCCCTCCCCGGGGGCCCCGTCGCTTGGACCTTTCGGGCTTCCCCCTTTACGCGGGTCCCCTTCCATTCCTGCAAATCTTAGCCCAGGCCCTGAGCGTCTGCCCTTAACCCCCGCGCCGCGTTGAGTGCCCCCCTCCTCCCCCCGGATGGTGCAGGTGCAGAAGCTGCGGCCGCCTGGGCAGTGACTGGCCAGGGACCCCGAGCTCAGCCTCACAGCTGGCGCAGAAGAGAGGGTCCTCCCCCAAGGATGCAATAAAACGCCCGTGAGGGTGCAGCAAGCCTGGGTTCCCACCCCCACCCCCACCCCCACCTTAGGTCTTCCTCTTTCTGAAACCCAAACGGATGTCGCTGGAGAGAGTCCGTGGACGCTTTGAACGGCTGAGGCCCAAAACCCACCATCCTAGGGTAGCAGATTCATGGCCTCGGGAGTTGTTATCCGACCGGGTGAACAATGTCTTTTGGTGCCCGCTCCCCGGGGGACCAGAAGTGGCCCCCGCAAATCTGTGGGCACGAGAGAGACTTTCAGCTCTTACACTTTGCGTGGGAGGACTATCTTTTCTTCCTTCCTCACCTCCTTCTAAGGAGTGTGGGATTCCCTTTGTGCCGGTCGCTCCTTAGATGTGGCCCCAGTACATCTGGAGACTCCTGAGTTTGCAAGATGTGAGGGCACCCTACCTGTGACCCTTCCAGGCAGGAGCTGCTACTACTCCTGACTCTCCCCTAGCACCTGTCAGAGTGTGAGAGGTTGAGAGAGAGAGAGAGAGAGAGAGAGAGAGAGAGAGAGAGAGAGATGGCCTCACTATCCCCAACTTGTAGTCTGGGCCTGTGTCCTTTAGGGGCCAGGAGGCCTCACCCTCTGGGGGTTCCCAGCCAGCCAGAGAGGAGGGGGCTGTGGCCTGGGTGTCCCTCTGTTCAAGACTGGCTTGGAAATTACAAATTGCTGTCAGAAAGGGCGCTTCGGGTTTTGTATTGGTTTATGAAAACCACTTCTTATATAAATATTATCTTTCTGAAGCAGAAATCCTTTCTCAAAAAAATTAGTTGCTATATTTAGTTGAGTTGTGGGAGGAACTGGGGAGATAAATATTATTTAATATCCCCCATTAATGACTTGGCAGGGAGAGTGTCTGTCCTTTACTGCACAAGAGCAGCCCTGGGTTGGGGTAGAATGGGGGTCTGACAGGCAGGCCTGGGGTCCCACAGCCTCTTTGCTGCTGCTGGAGAATCTTGATTCTCAAGGGAAGCTAGAAACCCAATTGGTGGCGCTGTCCCTAGAATCTCACAGATTCTATCCCTGTATAAGCCTGGGTCCCTCTCCTCTCTGACTCTCATGTTTTCATCTGTCCAGCAGAGGAGGAGCTGGCAGGGAGGGGTTAAGCCTCTGGTCTCCTTGCCTCATGTAGTTCTGTCTGGGTAAGAGGTCTTCAGGGGACCCAAACCTGAACATCCCTGGGAGGTGATGGGAAAGATGTTGGCTTGGCCTGGTGTGTGGGTCCACCCACAGGCAGGAAGATGAGTATGGATACGGTAGCTAAAGTGGGAGGGGGCATTGCTAGGCTGCCCTGGTTCCTCAGTGTTTTGATAATATAAGAATGAAAACTTGTGTTTATTGAGCACTTGCTGGGTGCCAGGCACAGTTCTCAGCAGTTTTCAACTGTTATCTCATGTTTTTCCCCCACACAGCTCTATGAGGTAGAGAGACTTTCAGCTCTCTACCTCATTCCCATTTTATAGAGGAAAAAATTGAGGCACCAGAAGTTAAACAGCTTAGCAGGGTCCATCATAGTTAAGTGGTGGTGTTTATGTGGAGTTCCTTCCCCTCCCTGGGCTTTAGTTTCCCTCTCTGTACAAGAAGGTCATAGGTTCTACAGGCTCACGCACACTGGTTTTGTGGCCTTTGCTAGGTGTTAGGTTCAGCTGGGCAGCAGCTATTCCAGATTTGTCCCCAGTCCCCACAGGGCCCCGGAGGACACTTTCCTTATGTCACTGTTCACTGTTCGGCTTCTTTCTCAGGAAGTGTCCCATCCCGGGGCTCTGGAAGTTGTCAGGTGAGCAGAAAGAAGCCAACAGCTCTTTCCCGTCACCCCTCCCCCTTCCCCTTCCCCCTTGCACTATCCTGGCCAAGGGAGGAGGTCCCCGTGTCCTATCCTCTAGTCTCTACTGGCACTGCCTCTGTGGTGGGGCTGAATGGGTTCTGTACTCTGACTCTGGCTTTTCACAGCTGGGCAGTCCCTGACAAACCTTGGTTTCCTTGTTTAAAGTGAGGCTACAATAAGAGATCATTGCTAGGGCTGCTTGTGCACGTTTACTGCGATCACTTCCATCAAGTGTAGGTCCTGATAGAGAAGGTTGGGGCTGCTGGGCCAGAAGCTGCGTGGTAGGGTGGGCGGGGTCTCTGGGTGGAGAAAACACCCCAGGGACTAGTGTTCCCCCACCCAGGCTCTATGCACCTGCAAGATCGTTAGCGCTAAAACCACAAGGAAGTCATTTGCTTAAGTCTTAAGTTTGCAAATTATGCCAGGGGTAGGAGGGGGGAGGCTGGGATCTCATCTAGGTCCCACTTCTCTTCCTCCTCCCTCCCAGAGGCAGAGGGTGGGAGGCTCAGCAGCAGCACAGCCAGTGGGATGCCAGCTAGGAGTCCGTGGGCACACAAAACACCATCTGGCCACACCTCGCCTGCCTGTTAGGCAAGTGCTCTGTAACTGAGCTGCAACCCCAGCTCGAGGCTCCTGTTTTGCACAGAAGGGGGTGTTTTGCCCCACAGTCCACCTGACCAGCATTCCTGCAGCCAGGTCCATGAAGAGCACCCTTGGGTCGAAATTCCTGTTGGCTACAGAACTTCATTTTGGGTCTGTTCCCTTGTTTCTTCCCACTTCTGATGGCTGTGTGGGTTGTTCACAACCTCTGCTGTTAACACATTGTGTTACATGGCCATCCTTGTCCCATATCTTGACTTACACTGGACAGTAGTACTAAAGGATACATCCTTCAAAGTGATATTGCTGTGTTCAAGGGGAAGTGTACCTGCAGTCTTGACAGCTGTTGCTAAATTTTGGTAAGGTTGAACCAGCGGGCTATTTCCTGCTGCCTGGCCACTGGTGGGAAGATTGCATTCTGATTGGTGCCACTCTATTGGAAAAGTGTCCTCTCATAGATTTACTTTGCATCTTTCTGATTTTAGGTCAGGTTAGGCATCTTTTCATACTTTTAGGACCCAACGTATTTCCCATGTGCCCATAAGCTGGCTGCTCATTTCCTTTTTTGGACGAGGAAAGGGAGTTGGAGGAGCCAAAGAGTTGAAGTTGGAGAGTTCAGGGGGTCAGGATAAGGGGTGATCCTAAGAAGTCTAGAGGGGGCTCTGCTCAGCAGAGCTTGGGAGTGGCAGTATGAGGCCCAGACCCTGCCTTCCTGGGCCTCAGGATGCCCACCTACAGTGGATATGATGGGGCCAAGGTACCCCGGGGTGGGGCAGGCAGCCTGATTTGTAGTCCCCCATGGCTTGGTGATGGCCTTCTTTCCTGCCTTCAGCCCAGCTCCTGTTGTCACTGAGCATGGGAAACCTCTATGTGTGACACCTGGAAACCATGCCAAGAGGAGTGAGGTGAAGGGAAGGAGGTGCAGTTGGAGTGGCTTAACTGCCTGGGTGTTCTCAAGCTGACTTGCCCCTCCTTGGCTTCAGTGTCTTCCTCAGTGTATCAGAAATGGCCCCTGAGGTCCCCCTTGGCCTCTCGGGATCTGAAGCTGATTCAAGGGTGAAGGTGCTGCTCACCTGCAGCCATTGGGAAGATCAAGGTCTTTTAGAACTAGCCCTCGCATTCATATCCACTGGGCTCCGTGGGGCTTCCAGGAACAGCACCAAGCCTATTCTAGAGGGACCCCCTCATCCTCAGGCAGGGGCAGGTCTGCTGGATGGAGTGGCAAGATACACAGACACTGAAAAACCACCTACCTGGTGTGCCAGGAAAGCTGGGAAGGTGGTGGGGGAGAGGGAGCCATTTTTCAGAGCTCCTCAATGGTCCTCAGTGGAACAGGGCCTGGTGGTCCATTCTAGGTGGACCTTGGAGGTGAGGGCAGCACCAGGTAGGCTGGGCAGGTGCTGCCCAGCCAGGGCCTCTCCCTGTCTCTGCAAATAATGATTTAATTGCTCTGTAAATTTACCTTGGAGGAAGATCATGGTGAGTGTGGCCTCTTGGCTGGAATTGACATTTAGAAGCTGAAGTTCCAGTTTTCCATGTTGTGAGAAGGAAGGAGTCCAGGGGGATTAGGGGAGCAGGTGGTATAGGAGCCTAGGGGAACCCTGGGGCAGTCCAGCCTGCACCCCTTCTCTCTGGCTTCAGGCTGAGGACCCAGAGCTGAATAAACAATGGCTGGGAGGGCACAGTGTGGACCCAGCAATGACTTAGCCCTGCCCTCTCTGGAGATGCTACTGTCTGGTAGCAGGGCTGCTCAGTACTAGTGACTGCTCAGAGGAGAGCAGGGTGACAAGGAAGTCTTCCTGGATGGGTGGGGTGCAGATGAAGAGATAGGGAAAGGTTCTCTGGGCATAAGGAATGACACAAGCAAAATATTGACAGGGAAAAGCTTTAGTTGCACAGGGAGGTGATGGCACTCCCGAGGCATATTGCTTGGTGGGCGGGGGCGGGGGGATCTACGTCTAAGATGGGGATGTGATTCTGGGGCAGATCTAAGAAGGCCTTGATGGCTGCCATGCTCAGCCGGTTGTTACTCTGTCATCTGAGGACAGCCACTGACGTCATTTGTGTGCTGGAGTGCCTTCTGTGTGCCCATGTGCCAGGCACCCTGACTGGCGCTGGAGACATTGCACTGAGCATAGCATGGAGCTCATGGCCCCATCCCTGTTACTGTGCTAATGCATGACTGTGGTTCTAGGCCAGTGTGGGAGTTAATCTTCAGCCCTCCAGGCCCACAGGGTGGCGGTCAGAGAAACTCTGGGGCGAGGAATCTGGTCCAGAGGGCTTTAGTCAAGTTCTGCACTATCTCTGTGTCTCCTGCCATGGCCACAAGCCAGCCACCCTGGCCCCTGGGTGTGTTTCTCCATCTGCACAAAGGGAGTGATAACATTACCTCCTCCTGACGGTGCTGTGACAGCTGCTGATATACATAGTGACCCAGTAGAGATCACCATGCGATATGCCCAAGCGATAACAGGTGTGGCTGGGGAGTCTACTTGGAGACCTGGGAGGAGCAGTGCCTTGTTACTGTGGCCCAGCTGAGCAGGTCAGCACTGCAGGGGAGATGCCTAGGCATCCTCCCGCTTACCAAGTAGGGGCCCACTGCTGTGCTTCCAGAGCCACCATCTCAAGGGGACTGCTCAGCTCCAGATGTGCAGCTGCCGGGAAGCAACATCTTCTATGGATAGCTGAGTTGGAGAACAGGATAGGTGTTTTCGGGGCCAGGGTGATGGCTCAGTGGAATAAGTGCTTCCCTGGCAAGTGCAAGGGCCTGAGTTCAATCCCTGGTTTCACTGGGGGGCGGGAGGGATAGGTATTTTCCCAGCCATGGGATCCCCCTGTGGCTTTGGGACTTACTCTTGTATAAGGCAAATTGAGTCCCTTGGAGTCTTGTAGAATCAACATTTGAACAATCTGGGCCTGACCTAGCAGGGCCTTGTACCCCAACTCCACACTTAGTACCATTTGTAAGGACAGTAGATCGATTTGGACAGGATGATTTGGGCTGGTAGCTCTTGAGCCACTGCAGAGAACCAATTAATGGGATGGAGGTATCAGCCCTACGGTCAGAACATGGAACACCAAGCTCTTTTAGGGGAACTTGGTTGAGAGGTAAAGGGACCAGAGGATAGAAGGCAGGGAGTTTTAGCTCAGGGGACCTGGAGCAGAAAGCAGAGAGCCAGACTGGGCTCAGAGCCCCCCTCTGCTTCCTGGCTGTGGGCTGTGACAGTCCCTCCACCTCTCTGTGCTTTAGTTGTCTGCTCTAAAATGGGAATAATAACAGCATCCTCCACTAAGGTTGCTTGAGAATCACAAGAGTTGTGGTACCTAGGAGTCGGCAGGGGCCCTGGCTCACAGTCAGGATTAGTTGCTGCAGCGCCGCCCCTGCTGCTTGACTTCTCGGCTCTAGTTGACACTTTGGTCCCAAGGCCCCAGGTGCACTGGTGGGGCAGCAGGTCTGCAGTGAAGGTGGCTCTGATGAGGATGGTTACAGCAACACCTCGGCGTGGGTACAGCTTCTTTCCCATCTTCCCCGGGGAGCTTGGTGCACCACAGGGAGCCAGCTGCTTTGACAGGACCAGGACCACACCTGCACCCTGTGCCAGGATGGGCAGGGCCTCAGCTGTGACTATGAGGCTGGCTGAGCCTGCGCAGGGAGATTGGAAGCAGAACCTAGTAGTAAAAGCCAGGGCCGGAGGAAGTCGGCTGCTTTAGTGACAGTCTCCAGGCTCCGTGGTTGGCTGGGTGTGGTGGCACACACTGGACTTCCACCACTACTTTGGGAAGTGGTAAGAATGATGGGATGAGTGTGTTTGAGGTCAAGGGGAGTATCTTTTTTTTGGCAGAACTGGGGATTGAACTTAGGCCCTTGTGCTTGCCAGGCAAGCAAGCGCTTATTCTACTGAGCCATCTCCCCAGCCCCAAAGGGGAGTATCTTGAGGAAGAGTCATGACAGTGTGTCTTTTACTGTGATCAATCTTTAAAAATTTAAACATTTATCATATCTTAAAGTCACACCTCAGAGTGAAGTTGTGTTTCAAAAAAACCCATCACCAACACAAACCCACTTAACAGCAAAACTCAGTGGTTTATGAGAGCAGTGATTCATTTCTTTCTTGCCGGGTAGCAACAGCAGGTGGGTGATCGGGGCTCTGAGCCTTCCTTGCTCTATGATTCAGGATGACAGAACAGACACCACCTTACAGTCACTGCTGCTATAGCAGAAGGTCAGGGAACCCCGACCTGTGCTGACTAGCATGGCCAGCAGCAGCTTCTTGTGGCTATTTAAGTGAAATGGCCACTCTCTGCTTGGGCCCCCTGAGCTAAAACTCCCTGTCTCCTATCCTGTGGCTCCTTACCTCCCAACCAAGTTCCCCTAAAAAAGCTTGGTGTCCCATGTCCTGATGGTGGGGCTGATACCTGGAGTGAACTGTTTCGGTCATTAGCCACATGCTAAGTGCTCGATGGCTACACGTGGCCAGCAGCAGTGAGCTGCACAGACCGGCAGCCCTCTGTCAGCACAGAACGTTCTCCTAGACAGTGACCTAGAGAGTCTCACACCAAGCACCCAGTGCACCAGCTGGGAACTAACACACATTCTCCTTCTGGAAACTCACAGGGGACCAAGAAGTACTAACTCTATGTGGCCACAGATGGGAAAAACCGGAAATGTTTGGGTGAAACACTCCAAAGAGTGGTTTCTGAGTCCATGAGGGTCAGGGAGCAGGAGGGAGAGCAGGTGGAGGAAGGAACTTGAGAGGCCCCCTAAGGCGGCACGAGGCCTCTGGGGGGTGGGATGTGAGAGCCCTCTGCCTGTGACTTAAATCTTAACCTCTTGGTCTGCCCAGAATAAACCTGCTGAAGAACATGGTGGCTTACAAGCTTCTTGCCTCACAGGGAGAGATTAGAGAAACAGCAGAAGGAATTCTGGTGGGACTGACAGATAAACCCTGCCCTTGGTCAGGAGCCAGGAAAAGTGAAGATCTGAGGAGCCTTCTTAGGAGAACGTGGCAGAAGCTGACCCGTGTGTGCCATGAGGTTGGCACCTTTCTGTCTTGAGGCTGGGGGTGGCAAGATGACCTTGTAAAGGACGCTGCTCCTTTGGAGAAGTGGCCCAGAAAGCAGGTTGCCCACCCCCTCTGCCTTTCCTGTTCACTTCAGTTAAATAGATCAGAAGGAAAAAGTCTGTTTGATTTTAATCTCAATGCAGGACGCTGGAGATTACATTTTCCACGGAAAATGTCAGCCGTTGCCTAAAATAGGACTTTAGAGAAAATGCTAGAAAGTGTATTTTTAGGTTATATGCTTTCCTCCTGGATTCCTGTGGTCCAGTGGGCTACTTGATGCTGTCCTGGTTCAGCTGCCAGCTGCAGACCTCAGGCCTGCCAAACAGGTGGTATAGGGAGAGGGTTCCCACGGGAACAGGTGCTTGCACCCCAAGAACAGGTGTAGAGCGAGGGTCTGTGTCTTCTGTCAGGAAGCAGGCAGGGGAAGTGGCCCCATGGAGTGTGTGTGGGGGGGGTCAGAGTGTGTGTTTCCAGCAAGCTCAGAGTGTCACTGCTGCTGGTGGCCACTCAGTAGCCAAGAGCAAAGGGAGGTAGAACTCAATTAAAACTGCAAGGGGCTAGGTGGGGGTCCCAGCCTGGGAAGGGGAACTTATCAGAGTCTACCCTCTGGGCCCACCTTTTGCCCAAAGCAAAGTCCCTTGTTGTGTGGCCTTCCTCCAGCCATGTGTCCCCTCTCTCATTCTAACCTGTGTGAAATCAGTCCTGAGTCCTGCCCTGCCTCCCCATTAGGTTACTGGGGAGATTTATAGATTTCAGGTCATTGAGGCAGCTGGCTCTGGCTGGTACAAAAAGTATTTCAAGAAATGTAAGGATTTAAAAGTGAGCTGGATTTGGTGGTGCACACCTGTAACCCCAGTCCCTGGGAGGCTGATGCTGGAGAATTGCTGAGCTCAAGGCTAGCCTGAATGCCACAGTGAGAGACCTTGACTCAAAAAACAAACAAACAAAACACTAGCAAGTAAAGCGAGGCAGGTGCTGGTGGTGTTCAGAAACAATATTATTCAAATGTGTGCGACTGAGCACACAGCAGCACCGAGTCTTCCTGAGTGAGCCTGGAGTAGGGGTTCTGAGAGAGGTTGGCTGCGGGAGGCCCCCCACTGCCTGAGACACTGGCTGTTGAAGGGCCTGGGGGGCCTGGTGGGGTGGGATTTGTGGCTCAGCGCTAACCTTATCTAAGAGGTCAGAGGCCCAATGGACAGAAGGGACCTTAGCAAGATTACTATGGTATGAAGAGCTCTCCCTTGCTGTGTCGCTGCCTCTTCCACTTGAAGAAGAGCAGTGTGGGTGGAGCCATGAGAGTCGTGGACTGAGTGACAACTTGGGGTCCCCTCTCCAGATCTATTTCCCCTCTCTGAAACGGGGGGAAATGGGGCTGAAAGGCATCCCTCCAGCTCTAGAAAGGAGGCATTATGGATCTCATTTAACTCGAGTGGGATCGGGTGGAGGGTGGAAACATCTGGGCTCAAATCATCCTTTCCGTGACCAGTATGTGCACTGGTATGTGCAGAGCGTCCTGGTGGGTTGGGTGGACACTGTGAGGAGAGGGTGTGGGACTTCTGCAAGGCTCTGCCAATGTAACCCATGGTCTCTTGTCCCCCCATGCTCCTGTGCCACGTGGATCTTATAGAGCTCCCGACTGAGGAAGGTGAGGCTGGCAGGGGCAGGCTGCTGGGCTGGGAACAACAGCTGTGAGTCATGCACCGTCAGGTTGCGGTCCTCCTCCCCTTGCTGAGCCCCCAAGAGTGCCCTGATCTGCAAGGGGAGGGATCAGGAGGTCCCTGCAGCCACCAGCTGTGAGTGGGGAGAAATTGGGCAGGGGCTTGGGCCTCACCCACTCTCCTGTGCCTAGGGAAGCCCCTGTGGGAACTGGTGCTGGAGCAGTTTGATGACCTCCTGGTGCGCATCCTGCTGCTGGCCGCCCTCGTCTCCTTTGTAAGTAGGGCCTGCCTGCTGGGCAGCCCAGGAGGGCAAGCTGGGGCCTGGGCAGGCATAGGACCAGACCGGGTCCCGGGGTTGCTGTTCTCGCCGATGCTGTCTCTCACCGGCTTTGTCCTCAGACTTCAGTTTCCCTCACCTGATTCCTCCTCCCTCAGTTCTGTGCTCTGGCTGTCAGGGAGAGCTTTCAGATTACCTGGTATGACTCTGCCCCTGTCCTAGCCTGGAATACTCAGCCTTGGCACTCTGATGTATGCTGATATATGGAGGGGGGCGCTGACCAATGCATTGTAAGAAGTTTGCAGCATGTCTGGTCTCTGCCCATCAAATACCCATAGCACTTACCAGTCAAACGTCTTTGTCGTAGTGACATTTGTGGCTTGGGTATCTATGGCCAAGAGCTTTTCAGAGGAGTATTGGGGGGTGAGGAGAAACTACCCCCGGCTGAGAGCCACTGCCTTGCCCTGTTCTGGTGCTCCTCAGGCTTTGGGACTTTCACCTCCTACAGCCTTCTGTTCCCCAGTCCTCCTGGGCCCTCAGGGCCATGGCCCACAGTGCAGAGATGAGGGAGAGTTGTTTTTGATGGCTGCACATCAAGGACTAGGGGTAACAGAGCTGCAGAGCCCACCACCCAGGTTTGATGGGCTCCTCTTCCTGGCCCCACCTCCTGCAGTGCCTGGAAGGAGGCTCATCTTGATGGCCTGGTGCATGGAGCAGCAGAGGCGCTGGCTGGAACCAGCTCTTTCCTTCCAGTTGTGCCTGGACCTCCTGGCCACTGTCCTTGAGGAAACCAGGCACTCTTCATTAAAAAAAAAAAAAAATCTTATCTATCTATGCAGATGCCTAAAATAGCAGGGTGCTGTTGTGCCCCTTTATGGTATAGATGGATGCACTGATGGTCATGGTGGGGAGTAACAAATACACACTTGGGCTAAGAAGTGAACATGGGGCTTGACCCAGGCATCCACCTCCCAGTCCTGGGCTCCGGTTGGAGTGATGCTACCCTGGATGGTGGACCACGAATGTGGGTGTGCATCCGAAGCACCTGGGCTTGTCAAACACAAATATATAGGCCTGCCCCAGGGTTTCTAACTCAGGAGGTCTAGGACAGGTTCTGAGATTTGTGTTTGTAACAAGTTCCTGGGTTCTGCTATGCTGCTGGTCCGAGAAGCACACTGAGAGTCACTGTTGCAGGCAAACAGCGAGGCCTCTGGCTGGTGCCACCTGCTTGGGGTTGGCTGGAGTGAGATGGGGGCTATGGTAGTGACAGTGGCGGGTTGGGTATCCGCAACCAAGGCCTTTTCAGAGAAGTCACCCTATCCAAGCCCAAGGCTCCCCAGGGGTTCTCCCTCCAAAGAGAGTAGCAGGTTGGAGATCTAGTGTACAAAGGAAAAAGACCATAGCCTGACTGACCAGTTGTGACCCTGCAGATCCTGGCCTGGTTCGAGGAGGGTGAGGAGACCACGACAGCCTTCGTGGAGCCCTTGGTCATCGTGCTGATCCTCGTGGCCAATGCAGTCGTGGGCGTGTGGCAGGTGGGAGGCAGTGGGGGTAGGGCTGGGCCCTGGGGTCTTCCAGCCTTTGTTGTGACCTCCACCTGTAGATTCTTTTGCTTCCAGCTCCATCCCAGTTCCCAGAGGAATTGCTCTGAGTGGTAGCCTGCCAGGGACAGCAGTGACAGACCACCTGCCTGCCTCTGTTCTGCAGGAACGCAATGCTGAGAGTGCCATTGAGGCCTTGAAGGAGTACGAGCCTGAGATGGGCAAGGTGATCCGCTCAGACCGAAAAGGCGTGCAGAGGATCCGTGCCCGGGACATCGTGCCTGGGGATATTGTGGAAGTGGCAGGTATGCTAGGGAGCTCTTCGTTCTATTACCTGATGATAGGGAGCCCCATCCCTGTTGTACCGCCATCTTTCCAGCTGTCTGGGCAGAGGGATTTGCTGTCACATCCCTTCAATGCTGTTTGTCTAAAGTCTGCCTGGACAGCTGTAGGAACTGTGGCCAGAGAGGCAGGGATCCATCTGAGGGATCAGAACTAAGGCTCTTGCCTCCCAGCCTTGGTTCCTGAGAGCCCTCCTGGCTTTCCGGGAGATGAACAGTGCCCGGTGTCAGCCAAGGCATTCTTCCTGTGTAGTGGGAGACAAAGTGCCCGCTGACCTCCGTCTCATCGAGATCAAGTCTACCACGTTACGAGTGGACCAGTCCATCCTGACGGGTGAGGCCTAGGGGCTGGGATCCGGTGGGGACAGGGCAAGCAGATGGCGCTTGGCTTTGATGGTACTTCTTATGTCTGATTCCCTACCAGGTGAATCTGTGTCTGTGACCAAGCACAAGGATGCCATTCCGGATCCCAGAGCTGTGAACCAAGACAAGAAGAACATGCTATTTTCCGTAAGTTCTTGGGATACTCGAGGCCTTTGCCTGGACAGTGATAATAAAAACCACAGTGTTCCTGTTAAACAAACTTCCACAGGAAAGAACCTAATCAGTTATCAGAAATACATGCAAATTTGTAATAATAATAGCTTGTGTTTCCTGAGGGTCAGTAGGGCTGGCATTGTTCCAGGCCTTTTATGAGTTTATCACAACAAGCCTTTGAAATAAAGTTATCAGTGTCTCATAATCTGTATTTATTTTTTTCAGCAAGGAAATAGGCTCAGAGAGGTTAAGTAAATTGCCCAAGGTCACATAACCAACAAGTAGCAGAGCTGGGATGTGAACTCAAGACATCTAGCTTCCAAAGCTTTTCCTTTCTTGCTAGGATGCCTTGCCTTAACCTGGAGAGGGGCAACACGTGCTCCTGGTCACCTTACAGAAATCCGCCAGAGGGCACAGGGTCACAACAGTGGTGGAGGGGTACAGAGTGGAGCTCAGTGGAAGAGCACTGCCTGGGGATGAGGGGTGGGTGAGGGCAGAGTGGACAGTGAGGGGGTCGTGGGAATGGTTCATTTGTCAGATGGAAAAACTGACCACCAAGGTCGCATCCCCTGGCTCTTCTCAGGGAGAGCAATAGGATGCAGCCTTGTGGGGAAGGACCTGCCCATGTGGGCTCCAAGGAGCTTAGCAGGTTTTGCAGATACCCAGCAGTAGCCGGAAGCCAACATGGAGCGTTTCGTGCTATAAGGAAGGGTCAGACCAATTGGACCGTGGCCTGGGGCATCCAGATGTCAGGGAAAACTAGAAGGCCTCCCAGAGGGGAAGAAAAACAGGGAATGAGATGTTCGTGAGGAGCTGTCCTGCCCTGTCAGGGCACGGACACCTTGGGCAGACCGCCTGGGCATGGGGAAAGAGCTGCAGGGAGATTGTCCTGTGTCACAGCTGTCACCAGGAAGCCAGGGGCGGTGTGGCTGTTGCAGTCACTGTGTTGGCTGAATGGCATGCACACTGGGCCAGTCGTGTTGTTCAGGGTAGAGAAGTGGCAGCTCCTTGTCGCCCCTTCTGTGAACCCATCTGGTTGAATGCTAGGCCCGGGGCTACGGCAGTGAGACCAAGTCCTGCCCTCCTGGAGCTCACACCATGGGAGGATGGCACTGACCCAGTAAATGCAGAGCGCTGTACTCCGGAAGTGCTAGTGACATGAAGGAAGAGAAAGCTGGGTAGGAGGATGAGAGCCCCACTCAGTCCAGATGGAATTGGGGTTCTGGGCCCTGAGCAGCCTTTCCCTTGTCCTCCCTTTGGCCAGGGCACCAATATTGCATCTGGCAAAGCAGTGGGTGTGGCAGTGGCCACAGGTCTGCACACGGAGCTTGGCAAGATCCGGAGCCAGATGGCAGCTGTGGAGCCTGAGCGGACGCCGCTACAGCGCAAGATGGATGAGTTTGGGCGCCAGCTGTCCCATGCCATCTCCGTGATCTGCGTGGCTGTGTGGGTCATCAATATTGGCCACTTTGCTGACCCAGCCCATGGGGGCTCCTGGCTCCGAGGTGCCATCTACTACTTTAAGATTGCGGTGGCCCTGGCAGTGGCTGCTATTCCCGAGGGCCTCCCAGCAGTCATCACTACATGCCTGGCGCTGGGCACACGGCGCATGGCGCGCAAGAATGCCATTGTGCGGAGCCTGCCCTCTGTGGAGACCCTGGGCTGCACTTCTGTCATCTGCTCTGACAAGACGGGAACACTCACCACCAACCAGATGTCTGTCTGTAGGGTGAGTGGCTGCAGCAGCTTGGGGCCCTGCAGGACTTGCCATGTGACACGTGGCAGCTGGGCCTCTCCTTGTCTCCTTTTTGGTGGGAGATGGAGGAGATAACCTTGAGTATCTCCCCACTGGAAAGCAAGTCCAGGTATAATGTGGCACAGCAGACTGGCAGGCTATAGCAGACAATGTCTGGCTAGACAACATGCCACTGTTGTCCCTGGGCAGGTGGCCACAGTCTGTGGGCCTCATTCTCATCTGTAGCCTGGGCAGGGGAGCTCTACCAGTTAACCTGAAGAGGACACAGGGAAGGTCATGCACAGGCCCTGTGTCTGAGCCAAGCAGGGCCAGGACCTAGGTTCCATCCTTCTCCCTCATGACTCTGTGCAGTCTGTGCTTGTCACCAGATAGGCCAGCTCCAGTGACCTGGCAGGGGCCAGGGCAGGAATTATTCATTCCCTGGTACTCTAGCCCACATCCTAGACCCACTGTTCACATGTTCTAGGGATTCTGGGACAGAGAGCTTCTCCTAACCTCGCACAGAGCTCTGTTGGGAGATGAAGGCCACAGATTTCCTGTCCTTTACAGGTTTCCCATTGCTTTTCTGCTACCCCTGCCCCAAACAATCTGCCTACTGGGCCTTGGGAATCCAGGGTTGGTATTCTGAGATCTTAAGGCCCTGTAGAAACCCACCCATGGCTCTTTAGGGGAGGGGACACTGGAAGAATTTACTGACCTGCAGAGTCCTTGGTAGGATTTGACTCAACAGTGTTCTATGATCGAAATAAAGATTAGAACTGAACCTGGTGGTGGCAACCAGCTTGGGTAGCTTTTCCAGAAACCAGTCTTAAAATATACAATAAATAGGGGTGGGGTTGTAGCTTAGTGGCACAATCGCCCTGGATTTAATTTCCAGGACCGGGGGATATAGTTTTTTTTTTTTCAAAGTTTTATTTATTGATAAACAGCAATGAGACAGTTTCAAATCAAATCGGAAGTACAGTTTCAACAAATAATACACTGCATATATTCTTCTTAGTGGTTAATTGCTGTACAAGATGCAGACTTGTGATTCTATTTACAAACACCATTAGAACAAATCATTCTATTCATTAAGAGAATGCAACTATATATCTATCCCAACCACTTTGAATACACAGATACAAAATGGACATTCATAGTTATACCCCATTATAGTTTTGAAAAGCACCGTGTAAGAGAATAATATGGGTGAACATACTGGTTAAAGGACTGCACTTGCTGGAAGACTGTCCCTGGGGAACAGAGAAAACAGGAAGGAAGTGACAGCACTGAGCACCCACTGGGCTGTCCCCTGGCTTGAGGATGTGCAGCAAGGCTGTTTGCAGAAGGCAAGCACTGTCTTCCCTAACAGAGCTGACTGAAAAGGCAACATGCAGCCCCAAGAGGGGAGGCCTCTGTCCACAGATAGGGACCCAGTGACCCAGCTGGCCCTTTGAACCAGGGACCCACTCTGGAGCCATTTCCAGTGTGGAGGGATCTGTGCCTCAGGGCAGGGTGTGAGTTTTCTACCTTAAGGCCGGTAGAGGAGGGCCAGCTGCACTCTGAGCTCACTTTCTGCTCCTGTTGTAAGTGGAGAAACCAAGGCTTAGGTACTTTGCCAGGGGTCACACAGTGATGTGGGCAAGAACCCAGGCTGCCTACTCAGCTCAGAGGTCCCTCAGGATAGAAGCTGTTGCCAGACACTGAAGAATGGGTCATAAACCCCTCAGGAGTGTGGAGCAAATAGCCAAACAGGAGCTGTGCTGGGCATGGCGCCTGCTCAGCCTGGACTTGGACCTCACTACTTCCCTCTGGTGGACCAGGGTTTATTCACACTAGCAGCCTGAGGAGAAAGGAGGGCCTGGCCCCCCTGAGCACACCCCTGTGCTCTCCAGATGTTCGTGGTAGCTGAAGTGGAAGCAGGCTCCTGTCGATTGCACGAATTCACCATCTCGGGTACCACCTATGCCCCAGAAGGCGAAGTGTAAGTCCTGGGCGATAGTGGGTGATGGTGGGAGCAGCTTACTGTGGACCAGGCCCCGAGGCTGGACACCTCTTGGGGTGGGACCAAGACCAAGTGCTGACAGTTCTGGCTGGCTCTGCAGGCTGCAGGGGGAGCAGCCTGTGCGCTGCGGGCAGTTCGATGGGCTGGTGGAGCTGGCGACCATCTGTGCCCTGTGCAACGACTCCGCTCTGGACTACAACGAGGTGGGTCCCCAGGTCTGTTCAGGACCTGCCTGGGTTCCAGGTACTTAAGATAGAGCCATTCTCCAGTCTCAAAGCAGGATTGGTGAGCCTTGCCACTTGGGAGTGCCATCCCCAGGAGCCCTGTCACCTTGGACATCCCTGCTCCTTCCCTTCCTCTTTCTCAGGCCGGCTTCAGATTCTTGCCTGGGGCATTTGGATTGTGGGGCTGTAAAGAGCTGGAGGGCCAGGAATGCCTGAGGAAGACCTTTGGTGGTGTAGGAAGGGTGTGGAAGCAGGACAAGGCAGGGCTTTAAAGCAGAAGGCACAGCCCAGCAGAGGCCCTCTCTGTGAAAGCCAGGTGTGATTTAGGCATTGGATACCGTCTGTCTTAATTACTTTCTCACTGCAGAGACAAAATACCCAACACGCACAAGTTGGAGAAAAGATTTTGACTCACAGTTTATAGAGTTTTTACTTCATAGTCAGCTGGCTCCAAGACGGGTGGCATGGCAGATGGGAATGGCGGGGGAAAAACAGTCCTTAGCAGGGTAGAGAGGAGGCAGCAGGCTTCCTTGTGTCTTCCCTTTTTGTAGTCTACAAGCCTATTGGTTGGTGCCACCAGGGTGGGTCTTCCAGCTTCAGTAAATCCATTCAACCATGTTGAGAACCATGCTCAAGCGATCAGTGGACTAATGCAGTATCACATCCACAATCCATTCACTCCCAAAATCTCCACCTCTGAGTGTATGAGGCTTGGTGGTGGAGGCGGCGGGCCATCTAGATAAATGCCATAGCACCATCAGTGTGGCTGGAACAGGGAAACTGGGCATGAGGGAAGATTTCCTGCCTGGGCATCCTTGGCCAGATCAAATCAGTGCCCATGTCAGGCTGAGGGCAGAAGGGAGGCACTGAAGGGTTTTGAGCAAGGAAGGGACATTTGGATTTATAAAAAGTCTCCCCAAGATTCAGTGTGGGCAACAGCACAAAAAGGTCAAGACAAGAGCTTGAGAGCCCTGTTTGACCATCCAGGCCAGACAGATGCTGCTGAGTTCTGACTGGGTCTGCAGGGAAAGACGTGAATCAGAGGGAGAGTAGAAGCCAAAAATCCTGAGACTTGGCTCCTGGGTAGGTCAAAGAAGGAAGAGGTCAGGGCAGCCCCAGTTGCTGTCCTGGTTGGGCTGTCATCAGAATTACAAGCACAGGAAGAGGAGGAAGCGGCTGGAGGGGTCCCCAAGGAAGAAGGTCCATAGGCAGCAATTGGGCGTGTAGGCTGGCAGGGCGCTGGCAAACCTGAGCATACAGCATGGATGTGGAGGTATCTGGCCCCCAGAGAGAGAAGTGGGTGGAGGTGTCTGGCCTCCAGGGCCTAGGCCACAGGTTACAGGGGAACCTGGTGATGGAGGCTAAGGAGTGGACCAAGAGGGAGGGGAAGGGCCTGAGGCTGTTGATGCTGGTGTCTGGGGGAGTGACAGTCACAGACATCACCCTGCTGCAGGCTGACCAGGTTGGGAAGGGTTCCCAGGCCTGTATGAAAGAGGCTACGCAAAATCTAACAGAGATCTCCGGGGGAGAAGGGACAGTGGGAGGCAGGATTGGAGAGCCAGCTGAGGTCCGCCTGCCCCTCCCCACTCTATCCTGCCAGGCCAAGGGTGTCTATGAGAAGGTGGGCGAGGCCACGGAGACAGCACTGACTTGCCTGGTGGAGAAGATGAATGTGTTTGACGTGGACCTGCAGGCTCTCTCCCGGGTGGAGCGAGCCGGTGCCTGCAATGCGGTGAGCTGGATGGGTCTGGACCCTGGGCTGGGTGGCTGGGGCTCCTGGGGCATCTGGAAAAGGGAGAGAGAAAGGAGAGTTTTGGGAGAGAGATAGACCTTGGACTCCCAGTGAGACTGGCTGTGGCATAGAGAGAGGAAAGGCTAAGTGTGAGCAAGAACTTGGAGCTGGGAAGTGCACACAGGGTGAGGAGCTGGCAGCTTCCTGGGGAGAAGTCAGTCAGGATGCTCGAGTGCCAGGGTCAGAGGAAATGTAGATAACACAGAGAGCAAGAGGCTTTTCCTGAGGCCAGGTGCCTAGTGAGACGCAAGTGAGAATTGCCGGCTCTGTTCCTCTGCAGGTCATCAAGCAACTCATGAAGAAGGACTTCACCCTCGAGTTCTCCCGGGACCGGAAGTCCATGTCGGTGTACTGCACACCCACCCGTTCTGACCCCAAGACCCAGGGCAGCAAGATGTTTGTGAAGGTGGAGACCTTCTTGTGTGGCCTGGCACTCCTGCGTCACCACTGGGGTCTTGGGGGGACCTGGTCTCCCGTCCTGAAGCTGTGGGGGGCTGAGGGATGTGTGCAGCCCATTGCCAAAGTGCCAACCCCAAGTGGGATGGTCAGCCAGTGACCAGAGCTTGGATGTGTGTTGGGGACAGACAAGGGCCTAGGGACCATGGTGCTAGCTCTGGGCCCAGGGCCACTGCCTTACTGTATGACCTTGGGGTCATCTGTGCTTCTTGGTGGGCCTCAGTTTCCCCTGTTCAGGATTGAACAGGAAGTTCTCAAAAGCGCTTTCTTGCATCTGACTCGTGGTGTTGAAATGGTTGGTACCCACCCTCAATGCTCAAATATTTAGGAAACTGAGTCCCAGAGAGAGAAAGGAACAAGCTCCCTTCCAGTCCCCCATCTGTGCACAGCACTTCCCACTGCTTTCAACTTTGAAGTAGGAGTCACAACCCTGACTTCACCCACAGTGGAGGGTTTATCCTCTGATGAGGTGAAAAGCCTTCCATACAGGGGCCACAAGTTAGCATCTGGGGTGACTTTTGAGAAGAGACAGAAGCCATTGATGAAGCATTTACAAATATTCCTAGGCATGGGGCAGGGTCCCAGGTGAGACTCTTGAGGCTGCTGAGGAGCCTGCCCACCCCTGTACCTTCCCAAGGCCACACCCACAGTATGCTTTGTGTGGCTCTATGTGGCCCTGTAGCAGGGTGCAGCCTGCCTCCCTGACACAGAGACCACTACAGAGTTGGAGTCCCAGTGGCACCAGGCACCTCTCAGTACTGCACCAGGTAGGCTGGTGGAGGTCAGGGACCACCCAGTGGTGGCTGTGACCTCACCTTGCCACTCCTTTTAGGTTTCCTCAGTGGGACCGCAGCCAGTTCCCACTCTTGAGTTTTCAAAGAATGGGTACTGGTCTGTGCCTTGGCCTTTCCCCACATCTGGGTCCATTCCCTCAGCTGGGTAGGTGGGACTTGGGGCCCTGGCTGAGGGAGTCACCACCCTGCTCCCCTGCAGGGGGCTCCCGAGAGTGTGCTGGAACGCTGCAGCTCAGTTCGTGTGGGGAGCCGCACGGCTCCCCTGAACACCGCCTCCAGGGAGCAGATCCTGGCAAAGATCCGAGACTGGGGCTCGGGCTCAGATACGTTGCGCTGCCTGGCACTGGCCACCCAGGACGCCCCTCCAAGGAAGGAGGACATGCAGCTGGATGACTGCAGCAAGTTTGCCCAGTACGAGGTGGGTGCCGGGAGCCGTGGGCCTGGTGTGGCTGGGGGGGTGGCAGGTCCAGGGTGGGCTCAGGCCCTGTTCGCATCTGCCCCTCCCTGCAGACAGACCTGACCTTCGTGGGCTGTGTGGGAATGCTGGACCCACCCCGGCCTGAAGTGGCTGCCTGCATCACACGCTGCCACCGGGCGGGCATTCGTGTGGTCATGATCACAGGGGACAACAAAGGCACAGCTGTGGCCATCTGCCGCCGGCTTGGCATCTTCGAGGAGTCGGAGGATGTGGTGGGCAAGGCCTACACGGGCCGCGAATTCGACGATCTTAGCCCTGAACAGCAGCGCCATGCCTGTCGCACTGCCTGCTGCTTCGCCCGCGTGGAGCCCGCACACAAGTCCCGAATCGTGGAGTACCTGCAGTCCTTTAACGAGATCACTGCTATGGTGAGGCCACAGGACTGGAGCCTGCTGGGGAGGTGGTTGGCTGGATCGCAGCTGTCACCTGGCTCTTGACCTCACCTTTGAGCTCTGCGCTGCCTTTACGCCTGACCTTGACCTCAGTTTTATTTTGTTCACTCTACCACTGAGCTACATCTTAGCCCCTTGGCCTTCATCTTCATTTGATTCCTTACTTTGAGCTCAGCCCCGTATGGGTTCCATCCTAACCTGAACCCAGAGCTGATCCCTGATGGTGACCTTGACCCCTGGCCTGCAGTGCTTTATGTTGACCTCCCCTTTGACCTCGTCTACAGTCTTGACCCTGACTCCAGCTCCAACTTGACTGTGATATCTCTTCTAATGGGAACAGTGACCTTGGCCAGGTCTCTTGCTTTGGCTTGACCTTCACCTTAATCTATACTTTTGTCTTGCCTGGGTGTAGTCTGGACCCTGCTCTCCACCTTGACTCTGCACACCTGCCTGCTCCTCCACAGGCTGTAGCTTTGACTTCAACTTTCTCATCTTCTATTTCACATCCACTTAAATTTCACCCCTCCCTCACTGACCCACCCTCATCCCTTTCTCCCTGTTCTCATCTTCTCTGACCTTAGACTTGATCTTCTCCCCAAGTTTGTCTTGTCTGCACCCTTTTGCCTCACCTTTGGCCCAATTCCTAAGGTCTTTCTCGACCCCATCACTCATTCCCTCCATCTGTCTGCTTCCTTGGGGACATCATAACGTGGAATGGAGGGGCATTGGAGGGGGCAGTTTCTTAAGCTGTGACCCTACCCAACATGGCCCACAGACTGGCGATGGGGTGAATGATGCACCAGCTCTGAAGAAAGCAGAGATTGGCATTGCCATGGGCTCAGGCACGGCGGTGGCCAAGTCAGCGGCAGAGATGGTACTGTCCGATGACAACTTTGCCTCCATTGTGGCTGCGGTAGAAGAGGGCCGGGCTATCTACAACAACATGAAGCAATTCATCCGCTACCTCATCTCATCAAATGTCGGCGAGGTGGTCTGGTGAGGTCCTGCACTCCCTCCCCTCAGCCCTCTGCACCAGCTCTGTGTCCCTGAGCTGAAGGGACACATGCCTATTCTGGCAAAGACCTTTCAGGGTCCCACCCAGGGAGGACAGAGGCAGGGATGTCCCCATATTGTCCAGAGACACAATAGCCCATGGAGCCTAGACCATAGTGTATGAGGTCCCAAAGGAGACAGATGCCTCTTTGGGTTGCTCCTCCAGCCGTAACTGTTTGCCCTTTTCAGACTCAAGATGAGAGAAGTCAGCCCCATCTTTGTGCAGTGCCGTGTGTGTGTGTGTGTGTGTGTGTGTGTGTGTATGTGTGTGTGTGCGCGCGCACGTATGTGTGTACATGTGTGTTAGTGGCAGGTGTGTGCCTTGGAATGTGTACTTGGTCGAGAGGCGTGTGCATGCATGCTTATGTGTGATCGCAGGCATCTCTGGTCATGGACATCAGCAGGATGTGTGCCAGCATGTGGTGGTGTGTGCACGCCTGCTCCCTGACAGGACGTGTTGGGGAATGGCTGCCTGCGGGTGCTGCCCCTCTGCATGCTGGGAAAGCCAGAGGATGTTTGCTCGTGTCTGTGGGGTTGTGTGGCAGGCATTAGGCGTTTGCATGTGTCTGATGCTTGCCTGTTGTTCATGTGTTTCCCAGGCTAATGCGCAGCTGTGTCCCCGTCCTGAGCTGGGGCCAAGGGAGACAGGCTGTGTGCACATGCTCCACACTTGTGTGTACCTCATGCCTTGCAGGGGGCAGGTGGCTCCCATCCTGGGTTCTCAGCAGGAGCTGGACCCTCCGTTTGATGGGGGCTGGCCTGCTGGGGGCTAGAGCCCATGACTCTGGTTCTAGCATCTTCCTCACGGCAATTCTGGGCCTGCCTGAAGCCCTGATCCCCGTGCAGCTGCTCTGGGTGAACCTGGTGACAGACGGCTTACCTGCCACTGCCCTTGGCTTCAACCCTCCAGACCTGGACATCATGCAAAAGCTGCCCCGGAATCCTCATGAGGCTCTTATCAGTGGCTGGCTCTTTTTCCGGTATCTGGCTATTGGAGGTGAGTAGGGCCCCAGCCCTCCATGGGCTCCCGGAGCTTTCTGAGAGCCTGTACCAGTGAGGGTTGCAAACAGCAGACTGTGCAACTCTGTAACAGGGTTTATGTAACAGGAGACTAGGAAACATACCTCAGGTGTGGACGTAGACCTCAGTATCACAGTCATTTTTGGTTTTGCCTCAGCTCTGTTCTTAGATAGACATACCTCAGGGTGGCAAAATGGCTGCTACAGCTCCAGCTCTCATGCTTACTCCATTACAACCCCAGATTCAACAGCAGAGATCCTTTTTGGTAAAAATCTCACGTTTGCTATCATTGGCTCAAATTGGATTCTTATCTCCTAGCTAGTCACAGTGGCCAAGGGTGTGGCAGATGCTGATTGCATTCAGGGCCCACATTGGCACTGAGTAGGGTTTTTTTGGTTGGTTGGTTTTTTTGGTACCAGGGATCAAACTCGGGACCTTGTGCTTACTAGGCAGGCACTTATGCCACTGAGCTATCTCCCCGGCCCCAAGAATAGGTATTTTTAAAATACATGGCTCAGAGAGGGAAGGGAAGTCAGGGAACTATTAGGAAGGGGAAGGATGCTCGAAAACCTGTGACTATCCTCCTCGGTCAATCTCCTCCATCTCCGCAGTGTACGTGGGCCTGGCCACAGTGGCTGCTGCCACCTGGTGGTTCCTGTATGATGCCGAGGGACCACACGTCACCTTCTACCAGCTGGTGAGCAGGCAACCTGCTGGGCAGACCTGAGGTGGAACCCGCAGCTCAGGTTGTTGGGAGGTTGTAGGGGAGGGGGGACCAGATTTCACCGTTGGCCGGCAGATGTCAGCCCCCTGGACATCCGCCCCCTGGGAACTGAGCCCTGGGAGGCGCTAGGAGTCCAGAGACATCAGCATAGCCCAGGTCATGGGAGATGCTATGCCCTGGCTTGGCCACAGAGTGGTGGAGACCAAGGGGCATAACCACCAGAGATGCCATCTTTACCAAGGGGGCAAATCATGCAGTGCTTGAAGGAACGGGCCCCTCTGGTTTGGGAGGCCCTGCAAGTGGTGGCATGATGAGAGTGGCGGGCACTGCCTAGATCCAAAGGGTGGCATTCCTGGGGAGGGCGGTGGCACCATGGAAATGCCAAGATGGGGTGCTGTTGGCATCTCAGCCTGGGCCCGGGCACAGGGGAGGAAGCATGCCAAACCCAGGCAGAGAGCACGCCTGTGTGGTGTGTGGAGGTCTGCCAGAGGTCTAGGCGGGTTGCGTCTCCCCATGGTGGCATCTTAGCAGGTGGACTCAGTCCTTCTGGTGACTGGCTGAGTGGAGCCAGCTTCCGACTTGGGATGTCATCTCTGCTCTGTGATCAGAACCAATAAACCCAGGTTGTTTCGGAACATGATTTTGGAGGGAAATCCCACTGTTAATTTAAAAGAGACAGGAAGCCAGGTGTGGTGGTGCACATCTGTAATCTAGCACTTGGGAGGCTGAGGCAGGAGGATCCTACGAGTTTGAGGGCAACATGGGCTGCGTAGTGAGTTCAAGACCAGCCTGAACTGCACAGAGAAGCCCTGTCTCAAAAAAGCAATAATAAGTAAGAAGAGTCTCTCGTTTCGTTAAAGTAAGAGCTCTAGCCCAGGCAGTCTTTCATCATTTTCCTTCCTGCGTGAGAATGAGGAAGGTGTACAGTGCTGTCTGACGGTGGCCCCCACATGCGGAGGGCAGCGATGCCACGCTGGCTGTGCTGCAGAGCACACAGCTGGCTGACTTGCAGGTTTTCTTGCAGGAGTATTTTTTATAGCAAGGGATCCTCTTTCTAAACCCTTAGCTTAAAAGATCTTTGAAGAGCTGAGCTGGCTAACGGTTCTGAATGTCCTCACCCGCACACTGAGGACAGTTCTCCCAAAGTCCTCTTCTTAGAATCTTATCAGATACTGTGACCAAGACTTAGAGCAGCAAGAAAACTCCTGGGGCCAAGGGGTGAGGCCCACTTCCTTGGTGGAGTCCTGACAGTTCCTAGTGACAGGGAGGCCTCCTCCTGCCAAGATTGTCCTGAGGTTGTTCGTCAGTATAGGTCACGAGCAAAAAGCAGACCTGATAGAGCTTGATTTCTGGGGCAGAAAGGGAATTGGTATGAACAGAACCTTTTTTAAGAATAGCAAAGAGCCAGACAAGGTGGCCCATGCCTGTGGTCCCAGCTACTTGGGCGGAGGAGGTGGGAGGATTGCTTGAGCCCAGTTCAAGGCCTGCCTGGGCAAGATAGATAGGTGAACAATTGATAGATAATAGATAAATAGATACAGAAGTGATAAAGAGATGATAGATAATGATAGATGATAAAGAGATGATAGATAGATAGATAGATAGATAGATAGATAGATAGATAGATAGATAGACAGGCAGGCAGACCAGTGAATAGGGCACAGGTAACCTCCATCTTCTGTAACACAAATTGAATTCCAGTCAAACCTGATCTTTGCTTGACTTTCATATGCAGTTACTTATTTTCTTACTCACCGGTCCCAGTTAGTTGCCATCCCTACTCCTGCCCTTTGAGACTCAGGGCCCCCAGGGTTAACGGCACAGGCCTGAATGCTCCTCCCAGCTCCAGGTCCCCCTGCTAATGTCAGCTGTCCTCCTCCTGAGGCACTAGCCCCTGCTCTATGGTCCAGGCCCCGAGGACAGCTGGCCCTTTTCTCTGTGTAATCTGCTTTCATGATGCACAGTGTGGCCTGCTGTTGCTGTCCTGGGCATTGGGGGCATCTGGGGCTCGCCCCAGGTGTGGCGAGGTATGGCAAGGGTGAGGAGGAGTGCTTCCTTCTCCTGCCAGCACCTCACTGACAGCTCTCTCCCCACCCTGCCTGGCCCTCAGAGGAACTTTCTGAAGTGCTCTGAAGACAACCCACTCTTTGCTGGAATCGACTGTGAGGTCTTCGAGTCCCGCTTCCCCACAACCATGGCCTTATCTGTGCTCGTGACCATCGAAATGTGCAACGCCCTCAACAGGTGAGCTGGCAGAGGGGCCCAGACTGGGGCTGAGGGCTAGAGGGGTCTGGGATTGCAGTCAGAGGAGCCCAGAACTGGGGTCTGAGGCGAGAGAGGTTCAGGCTTAGAGTCCAAAGGCCCAGGGAGGCCTAGAATTAGGGTCTGAAGGTCAGGGAGATCGTATGTTGGTTTAGGTTTGGGGTCTGTGGGTCATGGAGATTCAGAAAGTTTTCTCAGAGTCAGTGGGGCCAGCACTGGGATCTAATGGGTCACTGGAAGCCAAGATTGGGACCGAAAAAATGGAGGGACCAGGATCAAATGTGAGGGACCGAGAAAAGGAGTCCAAGACCCAGAGGACGGAGCATGCGGCACAACGCCCGGCTAGCCCCCACAGCCCAGGAGGGAGATGCCGAGCCCGAGGTGAGCAGCCTGTACCCTCGGCAGTGTCTCGGAGAACCAGTCGCTGCTGCGGATGCCGCCCTGGCTGAACCCCTGGCTGCTGGCCGCTGTGGCCATGTCCATGGTCCTGCACTTCCTCATCCTGCTCGTACCGCCCCTGCCTGTGAGTTCCCCCACACCACCCTCCCCTCTTCCAGGACCTGCACTGAGAAAGACCAAACAGTCCTTGGATATTAGAGGCCTTGGGCTGGGTGCTGGGCATTTTGGGACCCTTCTGCAGTGGAAGCTGCCTAGAGGGCAGGGTGGTGAGAGGTCTGCCTGGCCACCATCCTCCAGATGTGTCCCTACCTCCAGGAGTCCCTGGCTTGGGGGACAGAAGCCCTTGCTAAGGACACTGTTACTGGGTGGCCAGGCCCTTCTTTTTTTTTTTTTTTTTTTTGTGGAAAAAGGGATTGAGCTCAGGCCCTTGTGCTTGCCAGGCAAGTGCTTATTCTACTGAGCTATTTCCCCAGCCCAAAGACTTTTTTTTTTTTTTT